CTAGTAAAACACTGGCGTACTCAAGGATACTTTGTAGTTTTGTACCTCGATGATGGTTGGGGCAGAGCGTGTACCGAGGAAACTGCCAACTTGATTGCTTCAAGGGTAAAGTCTGACCTTTTGTCGGCGGGATTAGTGCCGAATGTTCAGAAGTCACAATGGGTAGCTACGCAAAGTTTGACTTGGTTAGGTTTGGTATGGGATTCAAGAGACTTTTCAATTAGAGCCTCTGACAGAAGAATTGAAGATATTGTTAGCTGTATCAATGGCATTCAGATCAAGCTTCCCTATACCTCAGCTCGGAAGCTGGCCTCAATTACAGGTAAAATTATATTTCTTGGTCCGGTAGTGGGGAAGGTCTCTCAATTGAAAACAAGGTTTCTGTACATGGATATTATACGGAGAGTTCACTGGGACTATGAATATAAACTTGCTAGCGACTGCAGAGTCATTGAGGAATTAGTTTTCTGGAAGTCAGAAGTTCAAACCTTGAACAAACGGTATTTATATGAATACTCTCTTCCCAAATGTTTTGTATATACAGATGCGAGCCAAGTGGGCCGTGGTGCATGGACAGTCGGATGTGGAGGGTAGTTGGTCCTGCAAAGGAATTGGTCGAGTGCTGAAGAAACCAAAAGTTCCACGTGGAGGGAATTACAGGCGGTTTCCCTCGCTTTGCAAGCATTTGCGAAGAGTTTAGAGGGTGAAGTAGTGAAGGTTTGTACTGATAACAAAGGCGTTGTCTCGGTAGTCAGCAAAGGCAGTATGGTAGAAGAGTTACTTGTACTCAGTCTGGATATATTCCAATTCTGTAGAAAGCATGGTATTCAACTGGGGGTACAGTGGATACCCAGAGAGCTCAATCAAAGAGCTGATGAGATTAGTAGGGAGATAGATTGGGATGATTGGGGTGTATCATACATATTCTTTCAATTCATTGATAAAATATGGGGACCTCATACAGTTGATCGTTTTGCAGATGAAACCAATGCAAAATTGCCTACGTTCAATTCCAAATACTCATCCCCTTGCACAAGCCAAGTAGATGCCTTTTCGTGCAATTGGCAAGGAGAAAATAATTGGGTAGTCCACCCTATAAAATTGGTGGCGGACGTCCTAAGAAACTTGAAGTTGTGCAAAGCAGAGGGCACTTTGGTTATTCCCTGCTGGCATTCAGCCCCTTTTTGGCCGTTGCTCTTTTCCCATCAAAGTTCGTTTCGAAGTTTGGTCAAGCATACCATGAATTTTTCTGATTCGTCAGATATATTCGTCCAAGGTCGGAATCACAAGTCTTTGTTTGGATCACCTCTATTCAAGTCCGAAGTCCTTTGTGTCAGACTGAAGTTTTCATTATGAGGTAAGCCGCACGGCAGGGTAGCCGCACGGCAGGGTAGCCGCACGGCAGGGTAGCCGCACGGCAGGGTAGCCGCACGGCAGGGTAGCCGCACGGCAGGGTAGCCGCACGGCAGGGTAGCCGCACGGCAGGGTAGCCGCACGGCAGGGTAGCCGCACGGCAGGGTAGCCGCACGGCAGGGTAGCCGCACGGCAGGGTAGCCGCACGGCAGGGTAGCCGCACGGCAGGGTAGCCGCACGGCAGGGTAGCCGCACGGCAGGGTAGCCGCACGGCAGGGTAGCCGCACGGCAGGGTAGCCGCACGGCAGGGTAGCCGCACGGCAGGGTAGCCGCACGGCAGGGTAGCCGCACGGCAGGGTAGCCGCACGGCAGGGTAGCCGCACGGCAGGGTAGCCGCACGGCAGGGTAGCCGCACGGCAGGGTAGCCGCACGGCAGGGTAGCCGCACGGCAGGGTAGCCGCACGGCAGGGTAGCCGCACGGCAGGGTAGCCGCACGGCAGGGTAGCCGCACGGCAGGGTAGCCGCACGGCAGGGTAGCCGCACGGCAGGGTAGCCGCACGGCAAGGTAGCCGCACGGCAAGGTAGCCGCACGGCAAGGTAGCCGCACGGCAAGGTAGCCGAATGACACGTATATAAAAGAATAAATATTAAATATAAATTACTTTATTAATTACCTATTTCTCTGCAGAAAATATAAAGACGATGAGTACTCTTCAACGTTGGCCATGATTCTTGACGCATCAAGAGCCCCCAGCACCACTAAAAAATACAACGCTGCTTTTGCCGCATGGCAACAATGGTGTTATGTGGAGAAGATCAATCCGTTACCAGCCAATGCCAATGACGTGTGTCGTTATTTTATAAATCTCTTCAATATTGGGGCTCCATTCTCGTGAATCGAATCATTTTTCTATGGCCTTAAATGGCGTCATGATTGTTTTGCGGACTGTAAAGAAAACCCATGTGACAGTAGATTTTTACATTATGTATTACAGGGATTAAAAAGAATATTAGCTAAACCCGTTGAGAAGAAAGAACCCATTACACCAGAAATATTAAAGGCTGTCGTTGACAAGTATGCAGTTCTGAGCAGTCTGTTAGATATTCGATTATGTACCATGTTGCTTATTTCATATGCAGGTTTCCTGCGTCACAGTGAACTTATCAACATCAGAAGATGTGATCTCCAATTACATTCCTCATATGTTAATATCTTCATAGTTAAAAGTAAAACTGACATTTTTAGACAAGGAGCCTGTGTGATCATTTCAGCAACAAATACATCTACGTGTCCAGTCAGAATGTTAAACAGATACCTAATCCTTGCAGATCTTGTAGATGAAGATTCAGATGAAAGTTTCCTTTTTCGACCAGCTAATTATATTCGAACAGAGAACAAGTACAAACTAAGATCAGGGCAACTATCATATTCAAGATGTCTTGATATATTTAAAAGCGCCTTGTCTTCGGTAGGACTGCATAGTCTTAGAGCTGGGGGAGCAACGGCTGCGGCTCGTATTGGTGTGCCGGACAGGCTTTTTAAGAAACACGGACGTTGGCGTTCGGAGACGGCAAAGGATGGCTATGTCCACGAGTCGTTGGAAGACAGACTTTCTGTATCCAAAATGTTGGGTTTATAGATAGTTTATCAGCTGTAAGTTGGTTCAGTAAGTTGTAATATGGTCAATTCAATCCCTGGATGTGTTAAAAAGTGGAAATAAAACTTGATGTTTCCTGATTATGATTGTATTAAAAAAAACCTTATTTCCCGCTCTTTAATTCCTGAGTATGATAATGTGGAATAAATAATATGGGCAATGCTTGCCATCGAAGTTCGATGTTTCCCAAATGGATTGCATTATTTGTTGTTGTTAACCTGTTTTCTTGCAGGTTGGGTAATACAGGGTGGGAAAATACGAGGGTAAGCGGCATTGAAAATAATTTATTCGCGATTGAGGGGCGAATTAGAGAATAAATATATTTTCATTGGGTTAGCCAATGCGAGAATTTACATTTGAATGGAATAAGCGGAGTGTGACATTAAGTTGTGGTTGAACAGGCGTGTTCAAGTCACTGACCGAATTCACCAGCAAGCAGTACGCACGTCAAATTTTCATGAAAATGTGTTAATGACTGATATTGCAATTGAATGCCTCTAATCAAGCCACTTGTTATCCAGCTTCATTATATTGACAGATACAGTAGAAGTAGAATGCCGTTAGCAGACGAGTCCCTATCTTGGCAGTCGACTTTCATCCTACAAGCACAGAGACGGAAACTCAAGACCTTGAGTTCGGATACTTCTGTCTCGACACAGCTTAAACTGTCTCCAAGATAGCGACGCATCCTGAGCCGTGTCCGCGCAATGCTTGCCATCGAAGTTCGGTGTTTCCCAAATGGATTGCATTATTTGTTGTTGTTAACCTATTTTCTTGCAGGTTGGGTAATACAGGGTGGGAAAATACGAGGGTAGGCGGCATTGAAAATAACTTATTCGCGATTGAGGGGCGAATTAGAGAATAAACTATCATCTGCATAGCAACCAACGTCGTCACAAGAGGTCTGTGTACACAATCATACGCATTGCTCCCTACACGCGAATTGTTCCAACATGTTACATAGTTAGTGTCGAACATCAATGAAGGGAGTTTAGAAATTGCAAGTGGATTGAAAACTATATTTACATTAAAAAAATAAATAAAACCGTATCATTTAATTTCGAATAAATTAATTTATTTTCTATCGAACTCTTGCAAAATACTCGTGGTGAACTAAAACCAAATTCTCTCGGTAAGCCCCCCCCCCCCCCAAAAAAAGGCTCTGGTTTCTGGTATCCGCGCGCGTGGCCGTAGCCAAGCGCGTCGGCAAAATTATTATTATTGTTTTTATGTAAAATGATGTCTCAAAATCGCCAAACTCACTGGTTTGACCGGAATCCTGCTGCTGCACAATTTTAACGTGTTTTAGATGTGGTTTACGATGGACTATAAGCTTTATTGGGCCTTTCTTGGCTCCCATATATTTTGCATAGAATAGTCGGGAACCATTTGCAGACAGTGTTGTATTTTTGTGAGTGTGGAAACGATGGCCGTGTATCTGGAACCTGTAAAAACTGTTTAATTAGCGCAATTATGTGGAGCAGGCTAATGACCAGCCTGGCAGCACAGGCACGATGTCGCTGTATGGTCTGACGTTACCGCTTTCTCTGATATTTGTCTTGACTATTCTAATTTTCCGAAGCATTTTCGTGTCCGTCGAAATCATAGGCCTAATTGGGTGCACAATTCTCAAGCCTTATGCCTTACTGAGGTCACTTCAAGCTCCACCCTGAAGGATATTTTTGAGAGTTTTAAGGGGATCGAAGCGTCATCATCTGCAACATCAGGTGACATTTGAAGAAGAAAAAAGTGGGGGAAAACAAAGCCACGTCGCCGCACCCCTATTGGGGCAGGCTCCATACCAGAAACCGAAGACTTTTTTTGGGGGGGGGGCAAAATCCGTGGATCATGTTAATTCTCTATATACCTCGCAAGGCTAGTTTTACCGCTATTTTACAAGGCAAAAATGTATGTGTGTGTGTCGTGTGTATACAGACAGACACCCAATATTTCTGACAGGTGAACGATGTCAACGAGAAAATTGAACATTTAACGAGGAGGTTGACGTGGAACGCCCACACCTCCCTCTACCAATGCCGCATGCTTTAAGTGACAGGCATAATGGACCGCCCAGGTCTGGGGCCAGTCCCAGCTGGCAAAGCCATAGAACAACGGGGCAGCTTTGGGTTCTGGGTCGGTCCACTCGAAGTAGGCTGCCTGCTGGTGCTTGCCTAGGGCGAAGGTGCCGTTGTCGTAACGCAGCCAGAAGCGTCGCATCTCCTGCTCGCTCAGTACGCCTGGAGATGACACGAAATGGAGTTTTCTGCACTCCGTGCAACGTCTGATAGCGGTGCCCCCACTGATTCCAAGAACTATGAATTGAGACCAAGGAAATAGCGACTTAATAGGTTAAGGTCAAGGGTTACACTTCCGAAAACAAGTTTAGAAAATGAGTTCTGTTGTACAGGTTTTGGAATTAGGTAAATTGTGTGTGTTCCTATTCAGTTTGATTCCTGAATTCAAACAAATAATGTTGTCAGTGGAACACAATGGAACATGACCTACCTTTAGGGCCCGTTTCAATTCTGATATATTATAATAAACAGGCGCGCGCCTTTTCCAGTGTCGTTACTGAATAGTGCAGTCAAACGCTGCACACTGTCTCATGATCGTCGTAGTGTTATTTATGCGATTGTAGTTGAAATAATGATTTTTCTTTTGCAATTTCGTCACCGACACCACGAAGTAACACTCCACGTGTCAAACCTTTTTTTTTTTTACATTTTTAAACATTAATCATCAAGGCCTACCACAGCACTGCACGAAGTTTGAAAGCTTCAAGAGCTTTACTTTAATAACTACGCCAATTATCCAAGACAGCTTTTGCGCAAACGGGACAATTTTCGTTTTCACGAAGTAACACTCAAGTTCCATTTACCATTGCAACGCATGGCGCGCACTCTGCTCAAATTTGAGCAAAGACTTTTCACGAACTAATACTCACATTTTGTTCTCTTATTTCTTGTTGATTTAATACACAAACGGGTGAAAACAACAGCAGATTATATAAATTCGATTCATCAAGTGTCCACAGCGAGAAACCAAACTGAAAATACTCTGACGTTTTGACGCAAAGTGTTGTTTTAGAAGGCGTTCAACTTTAAATGCCGTTTTCTCTGATTGCTAGTTTTTACTGGTATGTATATGGTTGTTACTTTGTGATGTTGCTGACGATTTGTTCCGCAGACAAGATTTCTTACTGAAAAATCCGTAGAGAAAACGCGCTCACAAAACGACAAAAAAAACAGAAAACGCGCTCACAAAACGACAAAAAAACCAGATCGTCAATGGCATATTTTAAGCGGGTACGGCAGGGTCAGGGGCCAACATATAGCTTTAGTAACTGCAACGACTTACGACGTGTGCTTAACAGTGGACGAGCTTGCAGTCCTGTACACGGGACATTACGTCATGTAATGTGCCCAATAGGGCTACAAAACGCCTTTCAAACGCATGGATGTTACATATGTTTGGAAAGAACATTGAAAAAAAATAGGACTTTTTTTTATACGTCCACACAAACATCCTTATAAACTGGGCGGTTTTTATGTAATTTGTTTGAGAACGAATTTTGGGTGTCAAATTCTGCGGACGTGCGAGAAACAATGTTTGTGTACCGGCTCTGCGTGTATTATGTGCCATACACACAATGTGTACAGTACATGGAACTGGTACGACTGGAAACACGTATGCGTATGCCACAAAATGTCTGCAGCGTCCGATGTAAACAACCACTTTTTCCGTCTTTTCTTGGTGACGTTTAGACATTAGTAGTTTCCTTTCAACCAGGCCTTTGAAGTAGGATAAGTAAACAATCTAAACCATAACGTGTTTTTTAAGGCCGAACTGCCCATAACCACGCCACCACGCACATGACGGGCTCTTGACCAATATTAATGGGTAAAGAGTCTTAAATAGTTATGAATATTAAATAAGAAACATCACCTGTATAACTACTATCAATTGACATTTTTTATTTACTGAATATTCAAGAAACTATATTTCAAACGTTTGATTTGCTATGCCCCTTCGACGGCAGACCGTACCACCAGTCACGATTCAGCTATTTGAGTTTCTACGTGTTTGTTTCTTCTGGTGACGTTATATATTTGGCCCAAACCGTTTGCTTGTCTTACCCATTTGGTACAGATTGCCTGCCTCTGTACCGTCCGTGGACAAGACGACTATTGCGGCATTGCGGGCCTGCAGGGAGAAGTCCAATATGAACGCGTCTCGAACGTAGCTTGATCAAATCTCACATTTGCCATGGAAAATTGTGCAAAGTGTCGTCGCTGGCAAGCAAAACCACAAGTTCCACGAATGGCAGAGCTCCCAGAAGTCCCATTTGCGAATTGACCCACCTCCCTTCTATTGCATAAGAATGGACTGGTTTGTTCCGTTGAGGTTGAAGAGTGGCTAATGCTAAGAACAGAAGTGGGGCTTATTATTCAACTGCATGACTATCCGAGCCGTACATGTGGAGCTTTTAGAATATTTAGATTCTGACCATTTCCTCATGGCCTACAAACTGTTTGCTTCACGCAGAGAAGCATCCCACAAACTGTGATAATACCTTTGTCTGGGAATGTCAGAGTGTCTCTAATGTGGAGCCTGCTTACTGGTGTCAATCCTGTGTACCTGCTCGTGGTGGCGCTGCTAAGCTCCGTTGCAGTTTCGTCGAAGTGAACTGAAACAGCAAATTAAATTTCCAAAGTAAGCCTACCATCGTCTTACGTGAACCACGAAACAATTTTTAATCAGCGACATCTCAGTTCAAGACACAAGACAGAGGGAGCACGCGTCCTTTTCAGGACGAGCCATGGCTGGTACCAAGTTTGTATCTTGCAAGCTAAACGTGATGCTTGCCAGAACAAACACTATAAACATAATCCTACTCCAAGAGACTCACATCCAGCAAAATGAGGAGCTCATAATTATGGAGGGTTTTGGCCTGATCTGCTTCACTCCCTCTTACGTCAAAGAGGGGATCTACCCGATGTTCCCCAATACTGATGTTCCCCACTACCGATGTTCCCCCAAATCCTTAGGGTTAGGGTTAGGGCTTAATTGGTAGGGTTTTCGGGATACACCGGTATTGGGGAACATCGGTATTGGGGAACATAGGTATGCACCCGTCAAAGAGGGAACTACAGCTAGTTTCTTTGAAAAATCTCGTGAGACCTCTCCTATTCAGTGGTCTTTCATCAAGATCGTCGGAACACGTATCGTTAACATCTACTTACCACATCCAGCACATGTCTCCTTTCAGTCGTTACCAACCTTCAACTGCGGCGACCTCAATAGCAGAAATACGAAATGGTGATACCCTGACACTAAACAGGACGATACTGCCATTGGTCTTGCGGATAAAGTTCGTCGAGTCCACCTTCAAGCAGATCTCCAGTCTCTAAGCAGCTACTTTAGCAGATTGCATCTGAAACTTAGCAAACCAAAGACAGTGTGCTCCGTCATTCATCTTGCAAACCGCCTTGCCAAAAGGGAACTCAACATCGTCCTATAGACGGCTCACAACTCATCGACCCTACACCCACCTTTGGTTGGGAGCCAGTTAACCACACTTCGAGCATCTGCATTTTCTCTAGCTTCCTCAAGCGTCCCCAGCTGGAGCCCCAGCACTCACACAGAGTTAGGTGACTCAGTCTTGAACGATGCCATTCGTCTAATATCTGGTTCTATAAAACCCTAACCAACAGAAAACCGTTCCATCCTCTATTCATGACTGCAGAACTTGCTCAGAACGCCCTTAATCCAGACAGCCTAGTGCCCTCCGTCTTTGATCCGCAAATTGGCAGCAGGCTCAACCACAAGCACTTTGCCTCAGAAGCACTCCGCATCATCACCACTCATTCTCTTTCCCCATCATCATGGACTGGTAAAAGGAACCGTGGTCAACGTCCTCAACATGAATTCATTCCAACTCCATTCATTCATTCAGACCCACAGGCTGGGATCTTCCTCGTGAAGGCTGGGTCCAACTCAATTGTCCCCGAACTGGTTTGGACCGTAGTGACTCATTCCTCCACAGAATTCGAGCTTTAATGTGTGTCAGTGTGGCAGACCACTAACCATCAACCACATCATTCATGACTGCCCTGACTTCATACCATCGAAAGGCGAGCAGGGACTTATAGACCTCGCCAAAGACAACATCGAAGGACTTGAAGTAACCAATTACCAATCTAACAATGATGTTCATAGAGTGTCATTGCGGTTCAACCCTGCTTAAACATGCCTCACTTTGGAGATCTTTGGGATTGCAAGTTGAGATCGGCCAAGGGTGCTTCAAGGACGTCCTCTGAGATCGCCAAATTTCTGAACTGTAAATACTCCGGACGAGGCTTCCTGAAGCAGAGGGCATCTGAAATTCTAAGCCGTTAGGTTGTACTTTGTCTGAGTTTTTAAACGTGTCTCCATTGTATATACGTTTAATGTTATGACTAGGCTATTGGGCACATCAGTGGATTTTTTTGGGGAAAATTTACATGTTCTTGTCTTTTTTATTGCAATCTCTTCTGGGTATCGCTTCCGAACTTTGTCTAGTTCAGTAGATATGAATATGTGGGGAAAATACATGGTCATATATTCCTGTGTGGGGCAATTTATGGAGGGACTTGTTCTCTGTTTTTTTGAAGATGTGGATTCATACTGGTTATAGGTGGCTTATGGGTTTTCAGTGTTGACATACTATTATGTTGGGGTAGACTTGTATTAGTCCTCAGGCTTCTTGCACGATAGACAAACGTTGTCAGTGTTTTGCTCTTTATCGAAAGGGATTATTAACGTACCAGTTGACCTGAAATGGTTGTTGTTATAGCCATTCATAGTAAGTTGAAATTACACATGCATAAACTTCTTCATTCATTCACTCATAATGACTTGATGAGTTGGGCCCATCTGTCCAAAGCATAAACTAGACATGAACGTGATAACTTGTTGCAGATTATTAGCTATAGTGGTTTATTTCCTAACTCAAATGTATTTTGGGTTGTTTGTTAACAGTTTCACACTGCTTCCATTAAAACGCCTAAAGTCAATTCCTGTTATAAAAAAATAATAGAATGTACATTTTGCTGATGTTCCATGATCGCCCTCTTTTTCTCAAAACCCAACAGCCGAGGAAATTACAAATCATCTGAATAAAACGTACATTACTTCACCTGTGTAAACCACATCATTAATTTTATTTCCCAAATTTCCTGGGAAAAAAAATACAAATTACTCTGCATTCCTTCGAAAATGGACATTCTCCAGTAAATTGATAAGTCTCATTTGTGTAGATTGATTAAAAACATGTGCAATGAACGTACGTTGTCCCAGATCCGCAATGTTTCGCAATTAAAAATTGTTGTCACACTGTGCACTATTGGTCAACAGAGGGCGCTACTCACCAACGGCGAGTAAAACCCACGAACAACAAAATTCACATTATTTTTACAAAAATGCACGTGCTGAGGAACGTGCAGCATATTCTACATGGTAATCGATCGCATTTGAATTTGTTTTCAATAATATTTTTGACGTTGATTCAAGAAAATCGATGATGTCTGGGTCATGCATGGTTTTCAACCACTGTGGACTAGGTTGACAAACGTGTTTATATAGTACGGGAAGTTAAGTGGTTGAAAATTGGGGTGACGTCATGATGAAGTCATCATTTCCGTTTTTTCATCTTATTTGCATTTCTAAAGTGCAAGAAAATGCTACTTTTAGATATTTTTGTATTGGGTTTGTTAGGGTGTAGATTTATGCACAAAGTTTGCAAAAGGGTATGATGTAATCGTGCTGTCAATACAAATATGATTTTTTTCATAAACAGTATGGAATGTGCGATTGTCTTAAAACTTAGTTACATTATTTAATTTGTAATATTTTATTCTAATTGCATACTATCAAATGCAATCATATTGACTTCAATTTAGGCACAGACAAAACAAGATGACCTCACCATTCTCCATGTGAATGTGATGTAAGAGGACATCTCTTAAAGGTATATAAAGCTGAGTGAGTGAGAAAAAAACACGTTCTTCCGTCTGAAAAAAAAGGAACTACTGAACTTGATCCATAATATCAGAAGTTATGCATTTATAGTGTCTGTGGAATGCCATTGGACATTTTGAGCCTATTGAGACTTACAGATTACACACAAGCATTCAAATACAATTGGAAATTTCTATAATTGGAATCAAGACTTAAAGCTTTTTTGTACTGTCAAATTGTGTATTTTGAATATGAGGAACAAGTCATCTCTATATTTCCCGAAATATTGATGGTGATTTTTGTATGTTTTCCTTTGCAAGTGCTCGTTTAATCATGGAGGTGGGAAAACGTCAATGTTTCATTGTACTCAATGGGTATTCATCAGTTCGTAGAAAGTAAATGATTAATGGTGGACAGCTGAGTTTTGGAATCGTTTTTTATTGAAATAGACATAACTTTTAAATACAGTATGCAAAGGCGTGAAATGTTCACAGTCCCATTTTTTTTTAAAATAAAAAATGCTTACCCTGTCATCCTCTATAGATATTATATCTAGAGATCTACAAGGTAAAATTGATGGGTTGTAAATATTAATTGAAATGACGTTATAATGACGGCTTATGTGATATTTTAAAAGTGGCTTTTGTTTAATTTGTCCTTCGTTTTTGCATATCTCACGAATGGAAGATGCTCAATTCCACTTTCCTTGTGCAAGAGGTTTGGAAGTTCAACTAAATGTGCCCGTTGATTTTTGAGAAATGTGTGACGTTATCGTTACGTCATCAAAATGCGATTTTTTGAAACATGGAATGACCGATTGTCTTAAAACTTGGTTGAATAGTATGCAAGCGTATTAAGTGACGATATCAATTTCTAATACGATTTTCCCGGTAGGCCGTCAGCTGGACTGGAAAATTCGTTCGTTTCGCTCCAGCAATCGCGGGTCTAAAAAATTTTAACAGTTGTACCGAAATACACTTCCAAAGAATGATACTACAAAAGTTCTCCACATTTCGTCCAGCAGTTTTTTGATAATTTGACTCGAAAAAGCGAACTATTTGTCCATTGTGGACGTTCAAAAACGTACCGCGCCTACGTTAAAAAAAATCCGCTGCGTATGACGCATCGTACCACGTGACGTGAACTGTCCAATTAGACACCAGATATGAGGTCGCAGGTCATGACATTTAACAAACATGGCGGCGTCCATTGGCAAAAGTGCGTCAACGTAAACATCGACCGGTGCAAAAAAGAAGTGTTTGCACTCATAATCTGTCACGTTTGAGGGGGGAAATGCGAAGGATCTGATGTCCGGTGATAGTAAGTTCATTTCCTGTGCCAAAGAGTGGCTGAATTTCACAATGGCATCGCCGAATATACCCACGATGTGTGGGCAGTGGATCTGCTATGTCTGTATCGTACTGTACAGTACTACATCATGCACTACCGGCGCATGTAAACAAGGTAGTCCGGCCGGCCGATCTCACCCGTGGCGGTTTTTATAGATAGTAAACGTCTCGGTGCTGCAAGAAAACGCAAACCAGACACTTCAGCTGAGACCCAGATTTCTTCCCCGAAAAAGCTCCGGGCAAAGTTAAAGTTTCTTTGCATTGCCTATCTACATAACTGTGTCATACTGCACACAAACTCAACCAGGAATTTGATTTCGATGAAAACCTCAATTCAAGGACAGTACAACAAGCAGAACTTCCATTGGAGGTAGGCCTACATGTCATTATAATAAAGGCGATTGTGTATTTATGTGCCCCAAAAAAGAACCAACAAATCCATGTTTGGGTTTAATTGTCTTGAATTAAGGGTAAGGTTAGGTTTTAATTTCTTTGAGGGAAACTGGGGTGACACAACGATAAAAACGCAATGCGAAAACAAAGCTGGTGGTCACCACGATGCACCGTGAATGCACAGAACCGCATCGATTTGGATGGCGTCAACTGAAAATGCATAGGAAAATTTTATTTTCTTGCAAAAGATACCATTCAAAATGATAACAGATTCCTGGTTATAAAAAAACACCTTTTCTTTCTCTACGGCATTGGACTGTTGGGTACGTCACTTGTTTACCGAATGGTTCTTGGACTTTACTTTCCTTTTAGAAAAATTCTCTGAAGTCAATGAAGAAAAATGTCTTCAATGACAAATAGATCTGATTTGAAAAACCCAGTAAAAAAGGTGGTTTTTTTTTAGTTCCATCATCCATGATTCAAACCGAGTACCTCCGGCACTGAAAATATATGTCTA